AATTTAAAAATATATAAATAAAAAAGAGAAAAAAATTGTCCTTTTGTTAATGGATTTTTTTAATGTATTTTTGAAGTATTGAAAATATCCTCAAATTATCCCATTTAGAGTGTACTACCATCTGTGTCCTGTTGTGACCCTACTTGGCATGCTTACTATGAAAAACAAGAATGTAGCTTTCTTACTCCCACTTTCTTGCTCTACAACACTATATACATAAACACGCGCACACACACACACACACACGCGCGCGCGCGCTTCTTGCTATGGACTGAATGTCCCTCCTCCACAAATTGTGTCACTTTTTAGAGATAGGGTTTTGGGAAGGTAATTAGGTTTAGTTGAAGTCATGAGGGTATGGCCCTCATGATGGGATTTGTGCCCTTATAAAAGAAGAGACACCAGAAAGTTCTCTCTCTCTCTCTCTCTCTCTCTCTCTCTCTCTCTCTCCACTTATACAAAGAATAGGTCATGTGAGCACACAGAGAGATGGCAGCTGCCTACAAGCCAGGAGAAGAGGTCTCAGAATGAAATCTACCTTGAAATCTATCCTGGACTTCTAGCCTCCAGACCTGTGAGAAATACATTCCCGATGTTTAAGCCATGCAGTCTACGGTATTTTGATACGACAGCCCAAGTTGACTAAGACACTTCCCCTCCCCATCTGCCGAGTTTAGACATAGCATAATTTTTGGTTAATTCAGCATTCTGTATTATTATCATCTTGTAAATACTATTTACCTGTGACCTTTTAGTTTCGTATACTTCCCCCCTAATATAATTTTACTTACTAGAGTTAGTAATTGCCTTAGTTTTTGTTTGCTTAATTTTCAAAGTACCTACCACCAATCCATCCTCCAACTTTCCCTCAGAAGTGTAACCCTGCTTTCAATACTTCAAAAATACATCAAAAAAATCTATTAAACCCATCTCTGTATTAGAGGCACACCTCCCCAAACCTTCCGTCACCTTGCTCCCATTTGGATTGGACACTCTCTAGTTGTCCTGTGACTTCCCATTTCCTGGTTTAATCCTTCAATTTAATGGAATACATCTTACAGTTACTTCCTGATATGATATATGAAATGTAAATATTTTGAGACTTCAATATCTGAGGTTATAATCTACCCTCACACCAGATTGCTAGATATAGAATTCTAGATGGAATAGTTTTCCTCAGAATTTTAAAGCTGTTTCTCCATTGTCTTCTGGTGTCCAGTGTTGCTGTTGAGATGTCTGAAGCCATTGTGAAATGGGATTCTTTTTATTGAATGTCCCTTGAGAGCCATTGACTTTGCTGCTGGAGCAAATGACCTTCTTTTGGGGAACTTTCCTTCAGACATTTCTTTGACAATTTTCTCCCTTATATTGCAAAACTATTATATCTTCTTTAACTCTCTTGGACCTCCTGACCTGAGTCTTTAATTTTGTCATTTATCTTCTATTTTATATTTGTTATATTATTTACCATCTACTTTTAAATAAATTTTTTCTCAATGTTATCTTCTGATCCTTTTGAAACATTTTTTACTTTGTCATATTTTTAATTTTCAAGTAATATTATTTTTGTTTTCTGGATGTTCTTACTCTTGTAGATTCCTATTATTCCATAGATGCAGTATCTCTCCTTATTTTGCAAAGATATTGTGATGCCTTTTCAAACATTTATTTTGCTTCCTATATCCTCAGAGATCCCCCTATTAAAGAAACGCTAGCTATTTTGGTTCTGTCTTGCCATCTTGAAGGCTTTCTTCAACTTACTAGTGATTTTGGGCTCCTGGCTCATACTTTGTATTTAAGAGTGAGAAAACAAAAACCTGTTTGGAAATTGTGCATGGCAGAGCTAGTTAACAGATGATTTCATTGTAGTGTGGTCTGGCTGAGCTCTTTTAGTGGGTGCTCAGAAAGAAATCCCCCAATAGTATGGCTACCTGTGTTTTTGAGGCAAAGCAGAAGCGTGACAAGGGATCCATGAGTCAGAATGAGGCACTCCCTCCATCTCCTTGTTTTTGGTGCACCTCCCTTCCCTCCGGTGTTTCTCCTGCCTTTGAATCTAGTGTCTCCACTAGTAAACTTCTAGACTTCTGCTGGGACGCGGAGGTGGCAATCTCCCAGGTGCATCAGATGTACAAGGAAAGCTGGCTTTATAACTGCTCCCTTAAAGTTTTTTACCTAGGTCTTCTTTTTTTTTTTTTTTTTTTTAGCTCAATTATATTTCTACCTTCAGAAGTACCTGGAGTGTCCAATTCCTGTACTTTTTGGGGTTGTTGCTCAAATTTACCTTCTCCTAGGTTGTTCCATTCTAGCTGATTTAATAAGTCTCTCTGAAAATGTGTTCAGGAGGTCGGAATGGATTCCTTATTTTTCTTCCAAAACAAATAGGAACATTCAAAATCCTTCTACTGACCTTTCTGCTGGGCTCAAAGATAGTCATTTTTTAAAAGTAGATGAATGATTTGAAGGCCTCACTAAAAATCTGAGTTTAAAGTTTGAACAGAAGGCATTGGATAGCCCTATTATTTATATTTAGCTTGATCAATTTCCCTCCCAACCTCAAATATGATGGGAAGCCTGGAAGGGGAAAAAGTTACAAAATATTACCCTGAAAAAGTCATATAGGTGTGTGTTCATGCATGCAAGTGTGTGGGTATTATATGTGTATACGCACTTTTTATGTTGGTTGTGGGCAGTCACAGTTTTGTTGCCTATAGGTATGTTGATGGACAGATAAATACGAGCCCATGGAGTATGAAATTGAGCAGCTTTAAAACATGTCCCCTGCTGTAACTGGTTTGGCTCAGTGGATAGAGCGTCGGCCTGAGGACTCAAGGGCCCCAGGTTCGATTCCGGTCAAGGGCATGTACCTTGGTTGCAGGCACATCCCCATTAGGGGGTGTGCAGGAGGCAGCTGATCGATGTTTCTCTCTCATCGATGTTTCTAACTCTCTATCCCTCGATGTTTCCTCATCGATGTTTCTAACTCTCTATCCCTCTTCCTTCCTCTCTGTTAAAAAAATCAATAAAATATATTTTTAAAAAAAACAAAAACATGTCCCCAATTCGTTGGGGAGAGGCGAGGGCTCTACATTCCCTTCTTTTGAATCTGAGATGGCCTTTGTGGCTTGCCGGTAGCTAGTAGAATAAAGTGTAAGTGATGCAGCACGACTTCTTAGCATAAGTCTCAAAAGGCCATGAGTCTGGTACTTTCAGACACTCACTCTGAGGGAAGCCAGATGCCATGTGAGAAGTCTGCCATGCTGGAGGGATTGTGAAGGCTCTGGTTCATAGTCCCAGCTGAGCTTCCAGACAGCCAACAGCCAGCGTCAACTGTCAGCCACAGAGTGTGCCATCTTGGATGTCCAGCCCAGATAAGCCTTCAAATGACAGCAGCTGCAGCTGACATCTGATAAGAGACTCAAACAATAAACTGGCCAAGCAAGCCCTTCCCAATTTCTGAGCCACAAAATCAAGAGCAAAACAAATTGGCTACCTAAGCCACTAAGTCTGGCATAGCACATTCACCCAAAGAGCAGCAACGGCTATCTAGTTTATCAACCAGTTTAGAACAGAGTGAGAAGCAACAGGAAAGAGATGTGGTAGATAAACGTGCTTAGATGGGGTACAAGCAGACTGGAAGGACCATAGTACCTACATTTGGTTTTATGCAATGTTCGTATGTCCTAACCCTCTATGCCGTGCCAGTCTTCTCTGCAGATGGGGTAGTTCCAAGGACCAGTGCAAAGAGTGAGTGAGGGGGGTTAGCAGATTAAAGGAGCCAGGAACCAACATGCATCTCTTCTGTCAGAGAGATGTAGGACAAGTACGTCTGGTCATGACTGTGTCTGGTCATTAGCTGGCTGAGTAGCTAGGGGTTTATCTTTGAATCTGAGATGGCCTTTGTGGCTACCTGAGGCCATAATGGGGCTGTAATGGGTGTCACTACTAGGTGGCCAATTTAGGGATGACATTGTTGTCAGTCTAGAAGTAGTACAATTCATGCCTTATTAGTATTTAAAGTTCACTTGGTCCACCTCTTTCTATCTAAAATAGCACTTTCATTTTTTTCCATCCTTTTTAAACACATATCCATTTATTTTATGTGTAACATGTCTCATAAGCAAATTGTGTGTATATTTCAGTTTCTCCTATTTTCTACAGCAGAATGAAATATTCATAAGTCATACAGCAAACACATTACAGCAGACACATGATAGCAAGTCCCAACGAGCAAGCACTTATCAGATCAGGTTTGTGATGCCCCACTAATTGGCTAATAGCAAGTCATTTGGCCAAGCCCACAGTCAATGTGGGACAGGTCTACACAAGGGAGTGGATACCATAGGACAGGTCTACACATAAGGAGTGATTCATTGGGACCACTACTATAATCTACTACTAACACCCAGCTAGGCCATGGTTAATCCCGTTATCAAACTTTCAGCAATCTGTTGGGAATAGGTTCTTAGTGAGTAGTTTTTCCAAATCTCACTTCCCAGGACCCTACCCCAAGCCCAGTGAGTCAGAATTCCTTGGGGGTAAGAGATATAGAGGAAGGTGGTGGTAATACCAAGAATTCCAGACTGAAATAACTCTGCAGAGGATTCCAACACACACGGGGGGGAATAGAGGGTTTCAAAGACAAGAAAGACAGTCTGTGCACTCAAAGAACTTAGTTTTCACAGAGTGCATTCTTTAAAAAAAAATTTCCATTGATATCAGAAAGGGAGAGGGAGAGATAGAAACATCAATGCTGAGGGGTTCTGAGTGGGTAGTTTTGTCCAAATCTCACTTTCCAGGACCCAACCCCAAGCCCAGTGAGTCAGAATTTCTTGGGGGTAAGAGATATAGAGGAAGGTGGTGGTAATACCAAGAATTCCAGACTGAAATAACTCTGCAGAGGATTCCAACACACACGGGGGGAACAGAAGGTTTCAAAGACAAGAAAGACAGTCTGTGCACTCAAAGAACTTAGTTTTCACAGAGTGCATTCTTTAAAAAAAAATTTCCATTGATATCAGAAAGGGAGAGGGAGAGATAGAAACATCAATGCTGAGAATCATTGATCATTGATTGGCTGCCTCCTGCATGGAGCCCAAAACCTGGGCATGTGCACTGACTGGGAATGGAATCATGACCTCTTGGTTCAGAAGTCGATGCTCAACCATTGAGCCATACCGGCCAGGCCAGAGTGTATTAATTGTCATTACTACACCAGAGACCTTGAGACTTAAAAGAAAAATTGCTTTCCATGTTTAAGTTAGAGCAGTGGGTCTCAAACTTATGTGTGCATCAGTATTAAGTAGGGGGCCTGTTAAAACACAGACGACTGAGCCCAACTCCCAGTTTCTGATTCAGGAGGTCTGGGTGGAGCACATGAATTTGCAGGTCTAACAAGCTCTGCTGCCCAGGGACCATACTTTGAGAACCACTAGGCAGGGAGATTTAGTGAATCTATTGCACTTACATGCGTACAGCACATCTACTACAACCCAGGGCTTGGCCTGGCTGCAGCAGCAGCAGCGGATATGATAAGGAGAGGATTTAGATCTTGATTATACTTGAGTAGATTTAGTCTCTAAGTGGATCTATTCCCTTAATAAGGGAAGCCTAGGTGACAGTAAGACAGGTTCAGATGAAGAGAGAAAGGAAAGCGTGGAGCAGGCGAGTCTGAGCCGGGTCTTGAAAGATGCCTAGAACCTGGACATTGGGAAATAGTGGAGAATCGTGGAATTCTTCGTTTTGGTATAGACTCTATACTATAGAGAAATCACACAAACCTTGAGGGAACACCGGGGAAAGGTCTGTGACACTCGCCTCCAGCGCTCCAGCATCACCCATCTGCAGGCTGCTGGCATCAGGACTAGGACGGGTGTTCTCAGTGTCAAGATGTCAGGCTCAAACCCGTCTTGGGAAGGGGTAGAACGGGCCTCGCCCTCTCTTTGGAGCTCCCAGAGCCGGTGCCTTGGAGACCGAAGTGTCTGTCCAAGGCCACAGTGGGCGCTGACTTGGCAAAGAGCGCAACTTGGGCGCTTCCATCTCCAAAACCCTCATCAGCAGGAGGCTGTGCACCGCGAGGCTCGGAGCGGTAGCGCGGCTCTCGGGGC